GGAGGGAGCTGGGAGCAGAGTTTAAGTCCCTAAAGCAGAAGGTGGCTAGGGCCACCTTTCCTACCATCCCTTTTTCTCTTCCCATCCAATTCCTGAGCCTGTCCTGTTGGAATGGGAATAGGAACCTGTGAGCTGGTGAATAACTGCATTAACACTGGGACTACTGAACTACTTACAGAAATTAAATTTAAGTAGGTCTGTGATGAAAACAAGGAACACTGTGTGATTGTGTGTCCCATATGGGGTCAAATCCCCTCTGCTTCACAAGGCTTTGTGGCCATCCAGCCACCCGCAGGCTCAGAACTCTTTCTGCGCCCAGCAGACCGCACGGAAGCAACAAGCCCTGAGCTGCTGCAGGAGTGCGAGGCTGCTCTGTGGAGCCCTGCCAACCACTTGCCATGGCATACTTTGGGAACCATTCCTTTAGCCATACTGACGAGAGCAGGGTAATGTATTTCTACTGGAAAATAAACATATCTCTAATGAAAACCTGGTGTGCCATCATTTAGTCTTCCCCCCCCTTTTTTTTTTCTTTTTTTGTTCCTTAGGCGAAAATTAGGGATTCTGTCTTGTCAGACCCAAGCACCCAAGCTGTTCCTCATACTTGCTATGCCAACCCATCAGCATTATTTCTCAAGCATAAAGAGAGCTTGGAAAACTTAAGCAAAGAGAAAGCAAGAGAAAAACTCAAAAGAGCCAAAAAACGTTTGACTGGGAGCTCCTTTTCCTCTTCTCTTCTCTTCTCTTCTCTTCTCTTCTCTTCTCTTCTCTTCTCTTCTCTTCTCTTCTCTTCTCTTCTCTTCTCTTCTCTTCTCTTCTCTTCTCTTTTCTTTTCTCCTCCCTTCCCTTCCCTTCCCTTCCCTTCCCTTCCCTTCCCTTCCCTTCCCTTCCCTTCCCTTCCCTCCCCTTCCCTTCCTCCTTTCCCTTCCCTTCCCTTCCCTTCCCTTCCCTTCCCGTCCCTTCCCTTCCTCCCTTCCCTTCCCTTCCCTTCCCTTCCCATCCCTTCCCATCCCTTCCCATCCCATCCTATCCCATCCCTTCCCACCCCTCCCCTCCCCTCCCCTCCTTTCCCTTCCCTCCCCTTCCCTTCCCTTCCCTTCCCTTCCCTTCCCTTCCCTTCCCTTCCCTTCCCTTCCCTCCCCTCCCCTCCCCTCCCCTCCCCTCCCCTCCCCTCCCCTCCCCTCCCCTCCCCTCCCCTCCTCTCCTCTCCCTCTCCTCTCCTCTCCTCTCCTCTCCTCTCCTCTCTTTCTTTCTCTTCTCCTATCTCATTTTTAGATTTCCAAGCATGGGCTTCCTGCTCTCTATACTTTTCCATGGTCAAAGATGAAGGTGTAGATTTGAAGCTTTTGTGCCTACAGCTGAAGGAGTAAGAATGATTTTGTAACAAAGATCATTTTGTTCTGCATCTTCACCCCAGCTTTGACTTGAATTAGTGCTGCCCAAAGCAAGCTAAAGGATAAAAAACCCTGTCAGTTGAATAACTGTGTTGCTAGGACAGTACCGCTAATGTTTTGCTGTTACAAATTTCCTTGCTTGTGGAGCCTTACAGTGAAAACAGAGTAGGCACTGCCCAAGCTTCAAATGTAAAGTAGAAATGCCCTTTTTCTTTTGTTACAACACTTTTTGGGTCTTTAGATGGCAAAAGGATTCCAGATGAGAGAAAGGAGCAAAACTAAGCAGTTTGCAACCATTTTAGCCTTCAGAAGGTACCTTTAGCATCACACCTTTCTTCTTACATGGAATCATTTTGATAAGGTTTTTCTGTATGTGATATGTAAACTTTCCAACTTTAAATCCTCTAATGAAGGGCTAGATTGTGATATGGGCCCACAGAGGGGGAAGGTAGATGAACGCACCACTCAGCCTCTCAGTCCCTGCTCACAGCCATAAGCAGGATTTTGCCCCAGTGCTTCTGGTTCTGAGGAGAACAGGAAGGGGCTGCCATGGTGGATCCCACAGGCACAATTAAGCCTTATAATTCCTTCCTGGGGGCTTGCCTTTATTCCCTACCCCCCCCCCCCCCCCCGAGACGTTGAGAACACTACCAAAAGAAGTGCTTCACACTGACCAGCACAAGAGCAAAGGGTTAGCCCACCACGGGCTGCCTGACAGGGAGTCGGGGAGTATTCCAAGCCTGCTGCAGACCTGGTGCCTCCCCCTTCTGCTCTGGGGACATGACATGCACTATTTTCTTTGCCTCCGAAAGGGGAAACCTCCTCACCCCTCCCTTGAGAGCTTCTGCTCTACTATGGCGACCTGTCAAGTGAGGTGCCTGGAGGAAAGGCATTTTAACTGGCATGGGATGATTCCAAAACATGTTTAGAAAGTCCAAGAGACAGCTGAAGGAGTTGAGTTACTCCAACGGTTTGGGGTCCTCCAGGATGAAAAATGCTGTATATATGCTGGATTTTATTATACATAGAATCATAGAATGGTTTGGATTGGAAAGGACCTTAAGATTATCCAGTTTCAACCCCCTGCCACAGGCAGGGACACCTTCCACTAGACCAGGTCACTCCAAGCCCCATCCAACCTGGCCTTGAACACTGCCAGGGATGGGGCAGCCACAGCTTCTCTGGGCACCCTTGTGCCAGCGCCTCAGCACCCTCACAGGGAAGAACTTCCTCCTTATGTCTAGCCTAAACTTCCCCTATTTTGGTTTAAACCCATTACCCCTTGTCCTATCACTACAGGCCCTGATGAAGAGTTCCTCTCCAATATCCTTGTAGGCGCCCTTCAGATACTGGAAGGCTGCTACAAGGTCTCCATGCGGCTTCTTCAGGCTCAACAGCCCCAACTTTCTCAGCCTGTCTTCATTTGGGATGTGCTCCAGTCCTCATGGCCTCCTCTGGACTTGCTCTAACAGTTCCATCTTCTCCTTACGTTGAGGACATCAGAACTGCAGAGCACAAGTGAGGTCTCACGAGAGCAGAGGGGGAGAATCCCCTTCCTCAATCTGTTGCTCATGCTCTGGGGATGCAGCCCAACACACAGGGGTGTTCTGGGCTGTTAGCACACACTGAAGCTGGCTCATGTTCAGTTTCTCATTGACCAATGCTCCCAGGTCCTTCTCCGCAGGGCTGCTCTGAATCTCTTCCCTGCCCAACCTGTAGCTGTGCCTGGGATTGCCCTGACCCACGTGTAGGACCTTGCATTTTGCATTGTTGAACTTCAGGAGGTTATTCCAATGACAGTGAGATGTTAATCCGCTTGCCAGGGTTTAGGAAGGCAGCAGTGCCAGCAGCAGCACACCTTGCCGTGTGACTGCCCACTACTGACTCCCAGGTGTATCTGCCCTGAGCTGCTTGTTTGAATTTCAACACTGCCAAGACACCGGTGTATCCCACCCCAGTGCAGGGCTTTGCTTCAAGCATCACACTGGGGTCAGGAAGTTGGTCATGAGTGTGTTTTCCTGATAATACTAGGTATCAAGGCATGACAATACCCATCTCCTTTGCAAATTGCTTTGAGAGCTAATGTTATCAGGGCTGGGGAACAGTGTTGTTTCATGGCTCTGTTGCAGAGTATGATCCAAATGATTGAAGAAGTTCAACAGAAATCCCAAGCTGGGACCATGTCAGGAATACACAGCAAGGGAAGAAAGGCTGGATACATTTAAACCATGTGCTTTAATATCATAACTGGAATGCAGGGTGGCTGGCTCTGAGCAGCAGTTTTGTTTCCCTGAAGTCCAGGGAATGCTCTGGCTTTATGCGGACTCAGGACTGGATCATTGGCCTCGCCATTTTGGGAGGGGCTTGTTTTCTTTCCTAACATTTGGAATTTCTGGGGTGATGGAGAGGCCAAAGGCTGGGGGACATGCTCCGTTTGCTAGTTTGCTGGATGAAAGCTGGCTCTGCAAGTTCTAGGCATGCCTCAGTGGGGTGCTCTTGGCTGGTCTGGCACTGCAGCCCATTGCTTTGACTGGTGGTTAACCAGCACATTGTGGTGAGAAGTTGATCATGGTCTGTGTTGCTCCCTCCCCACACCCGGCCTCACCCTTAGTGGGTAGCTGGTTACCTCATGCCCCTGGGAGGGAGTGACTGGCATGGGCAGGAATGTTCTTACACACCGTCAGCCTGGAGAAACCAGCAGTGTGTCCAATTCCTGGACATTGTTCAAGTGTGAGCTCCGTGCCAAGCAATGTGGAGGTAAAGGAGGTGAGAAGGGTTGTAGTTTGTGCCGTGTGGACACACACCAGGCTCGACCCCCTATGACTCAAAGGTGGAGGGTCCAGCTCTCCAACAAGAGCTTTAGCACTACACCAAGGAGAAGAGGGTGAAAAAAAGATCCAGCGATGTCATACCACGTGCACGGCAGGATGCAGGAACACTCCCTCGAGTGAAACGGATGCTGCTGGAAGGCTGCAGCCTCCCACCCAGAGCATGCCGCGATGCTGGAATACACTCGTTGGTGACATCCGGATGTGCTGGTGCGACGCGGTGTCATGCTCTCCTTCTAGCTCTGCGTGGAGCTGGAAGAGGGCTCTGGAGGTGGCTTCTGTGGAGCAGCAGCAGTGGTGGACACCAGAGGTAGAGCGAAGGACGGGCTGCCGGCAGGTCCGTGCCGGTGACCAGAACCCTCCTGGCCGATGCAGACGGAGGATGCCGAGGGCAGGCAAGAGGAGGCGGCACCTCCTGCGTCGGGGGCCACCGCCAGCAGCGCAGCGCCTGCCCGCCGCTGGTGCCGTGTCCGGGGGGAGAGGGGAGGGCGGCTGGACCCTGCGGGCGCGGCTGTCACTGTGCGCGCGGCGAAAGTGACAGCGGGGGCGGGGCGGGCGCGCGCCGGGCGCGTATTTAACTTGGGCAGCGGGCGGCGCGCGGCAGAGCGCGGCGGGCGGGCGGAGGGCGCGGGAGGGCCGTGCCCAGCTGAGCCGAGCCGAGCCGAGCCGAGCCGAGCGGCGTTGAGCCCAGTCGAGCCCAGCTGAGCCGAGCCGAGCAGAGCGGCGCGGAGCCGCGGCTGGATTCGTTGAGCCCAGCGTAGCCGGCCGGGACCCCGAAGCAACGGCAGCACCGGGCACCGGCAGCGGCAGCAGCATGGGTCGCCGGGGCTGCTGAGCGACCGAGCCCGCCCCTGCCCGCCCTCGCCGAGGAGCCGCGCGGAGCGGCGGGCGCCGCCAAGGACCGCACCGGGAGCCGGTGCCGGGGATACCTCCTCCATACACACACTCCGTCGCGCCGAGGATGCTCCGGGGGCCCGCAGGCCCCCCCCCGCCGCTCGCCATGAGGAGAAGCCCGGCCGGGCCGCGGGCGCTGCCGCAGCTGGCAGCAGCCGCCTGAGCCCCGCGCCTTGACGGTGCCCGCGCAGGGGCCGCCCGAACGGTCCGCCGTGACCCTTCCCCCCGCCCCTTGCCCTGCCCGCCCGGCTATAAAGGAGGGTTTATGCTCGGGCTCCGGTCTCACGCCAAACCCTGTCACACCGTCTAGACAAGCTGTCGTGGGGCTCGGCCCAGCTGTCACCATGGCGATGGAGACGAGTCCGCTGTGAATTTTGGGGGGGAGCGAGCGAGAGCGGCGGCAGCGGAGGAGGAGGAGGAAGGCTCGGCCGCCGCCGTGCCCTGCCCTGCCCCGCGGAGGAGGCACGGACCCCCCGGCGCTCTCGGCCGCGGCTGGAGCCGGCCCGGCGGGGAGCCCCGGGGAGCCAGCGGCCGCGGAGCGAGCCTCAGATGCGTCTGTCACACAACCCCGGCAGAGCTATTTAAAGTAACGGGCCTCGCCGGACTTTTGTCTCTGCCTATTTATGAGTCCCCCAGAGTTGGCAGGCACCGCCGGGCAGCGCTAGGAGCCGAGCCCGCGGGGACGCCAGCGGGGGCCCGCCCGGAGCATGACGGCGATCCGGGCGCTGCTGCTCTGCTCCTGCCTGGGGCTGCTGCGCCCGGTGGGCGGGCAGCCCTTCCTGCGACTGCGACCCTCGCCCAGCGACAACCTGCCCGTCAAAGACATTGTGGAGCACCCGGATCCCGAGTACGACCCCAAGGAGCATGACTTGGACGAGAGGACTCTGCGGAAGAAGCTGGGCAGCCATTTCGACCCCGGCTTCATGGCCGTGGCCGTGCCGGGACCGGCCAACGCGTCGGGCGCCGAGGCGGCGGCGGGGCGGGCGCGGGCGGCGCTGCCGGCAGAGCTGCGGCGGCTGGAGCTGGGCCCGCCCCAGGGACCGCGGCTCAGGGTGGGCAAGAAGGCGCGGCGGAAGGTGCTGCAGTGGCTCTGGGCGTACACCTACTGCCCCGTCCTCTACACATGGAAGGACCTGGGCGTCCGGTTCTGGCCCCGCTACATCAAGGAGGGCAACTGCTTCGCCGAGAAGTCCTGCTCGCTGCCAGAGGGCATGTTTTGCAAGCCCGTCAAGTCGGTCACCAAGACCTTCCTGCGCTGGCATTGCCAGGGCTGGTCCAGCCAGAAGTACTGCACTTGGATCCCGGTGCAGTACCCGCTCATCTCCGAGTGCAAGTGCTCCTGCTAACCCCCTCTGGCCTCGCCCCACCGCCTGGCATCGCCCGCATGATTTTGGGAAAGGGGCTGTGAGTGTTTTCACACTGCCCAGCGCTGGGTGTTGGGGCGAGGAACCGGCTTGTATGGTTTTCTTTCTTTTGTTTTTCTGGACTTATTTTAATGTTATTTGAAAGGGGAAAAGCGAACCCAGGAACTGCAGGGCAGGCCAAAGGCACAGTAAAGCACTACAATCAGATGTCTATTTTTATACGTATATAGCCTTCTAACAAAAGGAAAATAAAAAAAAAAAATTACCAGCCGTGTAAATAGAGAGATTTTAAAGGAAAGGGAGGAAATCGCAGTTGTTGGGGTTTTTTATTATTATTATAATTATTGTTATTATTATTATTTTAAAGACATAGGACCACATTTTAAACCCATCCCCACAGAACCTGAGCACTTCTGTGCTGTAGGGAAGGGGAAAGATTTCCCATGAAGATGATTTTATCAAAAGGAGAAAGGGAGAGAAGGGGGGGTAAAAGAAAGCAAAGCAGGAACGGCAGCAGCCCCCAAGATGGTTGTTTCTCTGTGCTGTATTTTGTCTTCTTCAGACCTTGTCACTGATGTTTGAACTAATTTGCCACGCTCTCTAGGGTTGGTTTTTAAAGTGTATAACAATTCAGGAGTAAATTTTAAAGAAAAGTACAAATCTATGAAAGAGTGGAATCGTTTTGTTGTGTGGGAATGCATATAGTCATGTAGAGACGTTAAAGGAAATTTTCTGTGTACAGTTTATTTATTTTTAACGTTTGTGTATAGGAAAAAAAACCCCAAACAAGCTAGAGATTATGCCAGAAACTATTGGAAATGTTTACTTGAATATTCCTTTAAAAACATATCAATGTAAATATGAGCTATCACTGAGCAGAAAAAAAAAAAAAAAGAAAAAAAGAGCATTTTCAGCAATAAACTCTATCTTTGAAGGAACCCCCTCCCGTATGGTGCACCCCACTTCCCCACAGGAACTGCCAAGACCCCAGGTCTTGCTCGGAGCAGGTGATGAGTAAAGGGCTCTGGCCATGTGAATTGTGACACGCTCCTGAGTCTGGTGGAGCTCCACTGGCTTCTGTGCCTGGGATCACACTCTGAGCTCTCTATGTTTAACCTGATGGGGAGAGAGAAACAAAAAATGCGGAGAGAAATGGCTCATAACACGCAAAAAGAGTGCGATATCCCAGCCAGGAGGTGTCATCTGAAGTCCTTGGGAGATTCAGCTCTTCTCCCACTGGCAGAAGAAGTGATCGAGGTTATGGCCCCAGCCATCAAAGCGCCTGACACAGCTAGGCAGCCCCGCTTGTGTCATAACAAATGTTTTTTCCTTGGCTGCTGCTGCTAGCACAGAAGGGGAGGATACTGACAAGCCCCCGTGCCCAGCCCTGCTGCTGCCACGGAGCCCAGGGCCTGTTGTAAGCTAGGGTGAGGAGGAACTGCAGATCCCACCATGGATCTGCATGCCCTCAGTTTCCCATCCTGGTATGCCAGGGCCACTGGGACCCTTGCTGCTCTTCCACTGGAGCTCATGGAGCCAGGGACAGGGACAGACATCCTGGCAGGCTGTGGGCAACGGAACCACTTGGGAGGAGCCCAGCACTGGTGAGCAGGGACCTTGGCAGTGCAAATCCATTCCCGATGGACATCTGTCTGTCTGTCTGTCTGTCTGTCATAGAGCTTGGAGTGGGGCCCTGACAGGCTGCTAGGCCGTCCCCCTGTGTGCTCCACGTGGGCTGCTGGTGGTGGAAGGGAAGGTCTGGCCATTCCCTAGAGTGTCTGAAACGTGCCCAGCATCCCTGAGGAACAAACTGCTGTCGAAGGCCCTTGCCAGCAAGGAGCCAAGCTCCGCCAAGCTGTCTGCAGAGCAGCAGGGAGACCCCGTCCCCCTCTGGCCTGGCACACAGAGGAGAGCAGTGTGACACCAAGTCCGTATCCCATGGGAAGGAACCGAGACCCTCTGAGGGGTCTGGCTCGCTTCTCTCCATCATCCTCTGAGGGGATTGCAGTCCAGTGAGCCCCCCTGGAGCAGGCCTGCAGACTTTGGAGGTTTTGCATAGACTGAGGCTGAAACTGGGAAAGAACTTTTTTAGTGGGCACAGTGGAGACAAGGCCAGAGGGACAGTGACATTCTTCAGCCCATGTCCCTCTGAGGCCATCCACTCGGCTCCGTGCGAGGAGCAGGTTGGCCTTTCCATGCATTTGTCAGCGAGGGACCAGGGAAGGGGGAGATGCAGAGGGCAGTGTGAAAAGGAGAGCTCGGTGAAGGCAATGTGCAAAACATCAGGGGCATTTGGGAGAGGAAGGGGAAAGCTCATTTTGCAAGAGGAACAACATCTGTGGTGTGGGGGCTGAACATCTGTAGGAGGGAGCATGGGGGGAGGGCATTCTGGGAAAATATTTCTGACATAATCCCAACAGTATCTGGTGTGTTGGGATTTGGTTACAAATGGCCCTCTAACGTCTTTGTGCGTTTTGTTCTGCTGGTTCCAGGGGCACACAGAGACCCCTGCTTTGTGCTAACCTGGGAAATAAACCATTCGCTGGGCTCAATGGCTGAGTTCAGTTGCACAGGGAAGAGGGGGTGGGAATGGGGAAGGCGAGATTTGTGTGAACTCCAGCAAAAAATAGCCTAAAAGCCTCTGTGCCATGTGCTGGAGGGAGGAGGGGGGGTGCCTCCATCTCTGGGGAGGACTCAGTGGTCCCACTTGAGATGGCAGCTTGTTTGGAGGGGAAAGCATGAGACTCGGGAGTGGAGGTGCTTGGGGTGGGCAGGGGCCCGGGAGCTGAGGGCAGCCCTATGGGGTGTTTGCCAGCTCCCCAGGCTCTGGTGTGCGGTCACTTTGTGCTGAGGAACCTCCTGCTTGGCTGCCCCAGGAGGGGATGAGTCGGCCGTGTGACAGCCGGGCCATGGGCATGATGGCTGGCCTGTGCTGCTGAGCCTCAAAGGAGAGAAAGACAAAGGGGAACCAGCCTGGTTCTTTGGTGCGGTTATTTCATTGTCTCCCCAAGCTGCTTGTGATTAAGGGACAAGCGGGGGGGGGGGAGGGGGAGAAAGGGGGCAGAGCCGGCAGAACCCCAAGATGTGGTGGGTGCTGACTTCTGAATATATGGGTTCTTCCCTTGTTCTGGCCTGGGAGATGGGCCCAGAGCACCAAAGGCAGGTGTTGTCCCCTAGGTTGGGTCCTGCTTGTCATCACGTTGGCAAGAGACAGACTGTGGCCACACACTGACAGGAGTATGCACACCTGCTTCTGGGTACCCAGCCATTCCTCTATTCACCCAGGATTTTCAGGGGGAGTGTGGCCTCCCCAGTGAGCCACATGCTTTGTGGTCTCCCTTCTCTGTGCTGAGCTTCAGGGCTTAAGCAGAAGGTGGTTAGCGGGAGGACCAGCAGTTTGACACCTTCTTCCTTCAAGCAGGGCAGAGCACATGTGGTGGAGGTGGCTCCATGGGACCCATGGGACCTACCTGATGGCTGCCCCATGTTCTGAGGTCACATGTCAACTGGCAAAGCTTTCCTCTCCACAGAGCTGGCCTGCTCTGACACCACGTGCTGTGCTTGGGCAGCTCCCATGGCTGGATCATGTCTCATCTCTTCCTTGTAGTCCCTACAGAGCCTGGTTCAGAGCAGAGATCTCCTCTCTTGGGTCCACAGAGGTCTTCATCTCTTCTGCATGTCAAAGCCCTTCATTCACCCCATGAATTGCTTTCCCATGCACAAACCCTAGATTTAGACAATCTTGTTTGTCTTGGAAGGGAATGCAGGCACAGAATGGCTTCTGACATTTGACTCACTGGTATGGAGCACATTCCCGTTTGTCTTTCACGTCCCACTTTGGCTTTGACACCAGCAGTGGGTTAATTCTTTGTCTCTGCTGGCAGAGAGTATTTCATCCTGTTTCCCATGCCACCTTGCCCGGTTTAGCTCAGGTCCCCTCAGCTAAGGCCAGTCTCCAGGAATGAGGTTTCTGTTGGCATGCTGTCTCTGCCAGGATGACCCAGGATTCATAGGTCCAGAGCTCGCAGGTGTCTAATGCCAGCTCTTGAGATATCTGACTCAGGCCCACATGATGATCTAAGCCCATCACTCATCATTCCTAGAAAGACAGATAAACGGTCTGGATGCAGTAATTGCCTCCTCAAACATTCAGGCTCAGGCTAAGCTGAGATTTCTCTCAATGTGCAAAATTGTTCTCAGCTCCTCCTTCAGCGTGAGTGTTGGCTGTCACTCATCTTTGCAGCCCAGCATGGCCACCAGGAGCCCTCAGGTAAAGCCAGTCTCCCTGCATCTTGCTTAGTTCACCAGCAGGTCCCTGGTGAGCCTGGTTGACTGCTGCTGGCCAAGACCTCCAACCAAGCTGGACCTGCTTCCTCCAGGCACTCCAAGCTCCCCATTCATAACCATAATGAAAAACATGCACTGGTGTTTAGGTGACCAGCACCAGTGCCAGCCGGTGCTCACCATGCTGAGCACAGACATGCCTCGTGGCATGGGCAGAGGTGGACTCTTGTCTCACCATCTCTTCAGGGCTGCTGGGTGCAAGGACAAGGGCTCTGCTTCCTTCCTTCTCTTCTTTTCTAAGACTCACCTTAGGCTGCCTTTCTCCCCACTCCGTCACAGTTCTCCTTAGCTGCCTGTGTCTCCATGCACAACAAAGCCAACCACATGCCCAGTTGCTGCTTGGTAGAGCTGGGCCCTGACCCCTCGCCAGCATGTGCCTCATGTACCTTCCAGGGGTACCTTGGGCTCTACTCACTGTCACCCCCTTCCCCCTCGAGAATGAAACCCAAACATTAACAGCAGCACCATCCAGGAGACACGGCTGCTCTTCAGCGTTAGCTGCCTGGTATTCTGCTTAAAAATGTCACTCCATCAAGGAGAAGGGACCACATCATGTGGCTCCCGGGTACCCAATCAGAGAGGCAGAGACATGAAGAGCGAATCCCGGTGAGCTGGGAGGCAGCGCATGCAGGACAACCATTGGCTATAGTGGCCCTTTCAGGGTCTGGTGAATGAATCCATTCACAAAAACACAGGGCTAGTTTGCGAACAGCAAAACAGCCTGGAGGAGTCTGCCAGGGAGACACCCAAGCCCTGCAGCAGATGTGTGGGATGTGGCTAGTGCAGCTGTGCCCAAGCCCAAGCAAAGGTGCAGTGAATTTGGGAGGGCCGATTCCACCTCTCCCAGTTTTCAGGCCCCGCTGCTCCTCTCAAGGAGGTTCGTTGCCCTGCCCCAAGAATCTCATCCTCCCGCCAGATTCCCGGGCATGGGGCACAGACCACCAGGGGCACACACACCACCACTGGGGCATATTAGGAGAGAGACCCTGACTGATCTCCAGCATCACACAGATATCCTGTAAAGGGAGAGAAGCCCTCACAGAAGCCCATGGTCCCAGAGATATGATGGAGCATACAATGGGAAAAGCTTCTTCTTGGATCTGGAAGCTAGGAGTGAAGGGTGTTACACTGGGTAATGCCAGACATAGGGCATGGTTGCTCTCAGAGGGCCTGACTAGGTCAGCCACACCAGTGGAAGGGTGGGTAGACATTGGAACAGGCTGCCCAGGTAGAGTAAGTGTCCCTGGAAATAACAAGTCATGTAGATGAGGCCCTTAGTGACATGGTTTAGTGGTGGCCTTGGCACTGCTGTGGCAACAGCTGGACTTGAATGATCTTAAAGGTCTTTTCCAACATGGCTGATTCCATGATTCTGATTCTATGAGCCTTGTTACCACGTGGTCTAAGGACCACGAACATGGTCCTTCTAAACAAGTTATCTCC